AATAAATAAAAAAATATTTAATTAAATACAAAGTCTAGCGAGCCTTCAGTAAATAAAGGGATTTATGTTTCTGCGGAATTGGGAAAAAGAGCGTGTAGGTTTCTACGTTTCGCAATCGGATTGAAATTCTACCAAAAATATTTGTGAGCAATGTCAATAGCAAAATAGAAAGTACATACATATGTGTTTCTGTTGTCCAACTTATTTAATGGTAAATTTAATACCGAAAAATTTACGYAAAAAGATGTATTTTAAATTGATTTTCCATTACATTTTTTATGGATCTTTTCATCACATGCGTAAATTTCGAGCAACAAATGCGGTAGTCCATCGAAATGAGCCACCATACATAGATTTAAGCAAAAAAAAAAATATATATATAGGAAGCGAAAAGCTGAAGAATGATAATATTGTAATAATTTTTTAGATATATGTATGAAATGAATTTAATGTAAATCTAAAACTAAACTAAAATTCGTTTGCGAAGTTAATAGAGGCAATAAAATTTATATACAAGCCTTAATACTTGTTTGTTTTATTATTTTATAAAAAAAAATATCTTTATATTTTATCCACTAGGCTATTGTACAAACGCCGTCATGCTTTCCTGAAAGCAGTTTTGTTGATTAGTCCCAAATTTAATGAAAGTGTGAAAGAGAAGGATAAAGTTTTATTACAGCAGAAAATATGTGAGCGAGAAAGTGATAAAAGATCAGATGTATACAAAAGTTTTGGGATCTTTTTTGATTCGCCCTTAAGAACGTGATAGGAAAAAGTAACAAATACACTGGCACGTGTTACCGGCATGTCACTAGGTAACATGACCGTCACTGCTCTWACTGGGTACATAAGCACATATACATACATACATATATACTATATATATATACTTTTAAGATCACAATCGCTACTTATTCGCATTTCGGCCTTGGCTGGCGATAATATTATTCTACATTTACATCAAAATTATCTAAAATAATTTTAGCTATACGTGCAGCCAACATTTCACTCACCAGTTCTATTTAATGCAAAATAACACGGCCGATTATKTATATGTATGATTCTTGCCACCACAGCAAACACACTCGTTTATAACAAATTAGAATTCAAATGATTTGCGAAGAAAAATCTATTAAAATGAGATCACGACTTAAAAAAATTGCTGCAACCCAAACGAACCGAATTGCTGCAGCTGTCTTCTTCGACTGACCAAATCAAGACGGTGCCGGCAAACAATATTTTTAAGCGCATTCAAATATATCTACAAACAATTTCCTACTAGCTGCGCTTACAAACACAACATATGTACAGTATATATATACACACAATATATATGGATATCTATGCATTTACCCAGCAGTAAAAGTAATGAGTTGCTTAGTAGGTGTCGAACCAGGTATAGTTTTGAATCTAACTGATAATTATAAGTGCGTTAGACTATATTATACATTGTGAAACAAAGCACCCGGAACTTGATACAGTTTTATCAAAAACACAAGCCCACAAGTGGTACAAAGCCTTCAAAGACGGTCAAGAGATCGTTGAAGAATATATAGACATGTCTGGACGACCTTCGACATCTTCAACTGATGAAAATTTAAAAAAAGCGGATATATGTATGTATGGTGTTTGAACATTGGCGGGCAAGTGTTAGAGAAATAGCAAGAGAGCTCGACATATCTCAGATAGTTTCGGTGAGTGTTTTGGGTATGAAACGCCTTCTTGCTCGATTTGTCCCGATAAAGCTGAATTTTTTCAAAAAGAATACCGTAAACAGGTCTTTTTAGACATGCTTGATCGTGCTAGCTGCGATCCCACATTTGTGGAGAGCATTGCTCATTATTTTTTCGATATTTATGGTTTGGTGGATGAAGAACTTGTTCCAGAGGGACAAAAGTCAGTAAAGAGTTCTATTTGGCCATATGGAGCTGTTTGCGCTAGAACATCCGATGAAACCGGCTGGAATGGTGGAAAAACAATTCATAGATTTTACACGATGATAATGCACCATCGCGTCGAGTCACGGTTTGACCGACTTTAATGCCAAAACTGCAATGAATACCATCGATCAACCAATGTTTTCACGAGATTTGTCTGCGTGTGATTTATTCTTGTTCCTCAAACTGAAGCTGTGGCTTCCGTTAGAACGCGTTTTTAGTTGATCGAAGAGATAAGACAAAATTCGCTGAAGGAGTCGTCCCAAAAAGTGCTTGTGGCAAAATCGTTGGTATAAGGGTATTACATCTGGTGGGGATTACTTTAAAGGCGACAAAATGAATATTAATGAATAATTATATATTTTATTTACAACTTCCGGGTACTATTTTTGTCACATTATAATCAGATAACTAACTACTCAAATTGCAATCACCTTTATAGCTTCGTTTACACATTTTTAGTTAAAAGTGGCGAACTCGTGGTTTATAAATATTTCTTTCTAAGAAAATAACTGCTCTCTTCCTGCATTACTTTGGGTTAGAAAAGTGCCTAGTGCAAGTTGACACTTATTATATATATAATATTGTATATATATTTTTTTGAAGTCCAAGCGTAATAGTACATGTGCACGGCTTCTATGAAAAGTTTCCCCAATTTTACTGGCTTTACCCGATGTCTCCGCTTAATTTTTAAATATTTGAAACTCCCAGCTCTGGATTTCCTTATACTTGTCGTACTATTGATCACGTTTCAGTGTCAGCGAATGTATATTTATTTTTATTGTGCAATTATGTCTTCCAACTATTTCCCCGATTTCTTGCCAGTATTCACCTTTGTTATGCAAATCTAATATGGTCGCGTTTAAATGATTGTTTGCTTACCCATTGTAATATTTCATTTTCAAATATTTATTTATCTTTTTACCTTTGTAATGCTTGAAGTATCTAACAGTCATTTAGCTCCAATTTTCTTATACTCGTCTGGCTGCAGAGTATAATATTTTTGTTCACCTAACGGTTGTTTGTATCGTCTAAAACTAATGGAGATACATGTATATATATTAAATCTATCTAAAATCTCATAATGAAACCTGGTAAAGCTAGGTCTATTCTGACATTACCATGATACGATACGAAAATCAGTTGCAACCATGCCTACTTCCCATATGATCTAACTTTAAATTCCATATGATTTTTTCACTTTTTTTACACTTCAAAATTAGATGAATATATCGGAATAAAACTTTGTACGAATATCGACTTAAGGGCATGATGTCTCAGGTCTAAATATTTTCAAAATCAGAACATAACTATTCACGCATCAGGTACCGGAAATGTGGGCCGCAGAACCTATGGCTGAGTTGTTACCGAATATAACGGTCAATGTGTGAGAAACCACTATAATATATATATATAGCAAATACATATCTGCCGTACATATTGAAATATCAAAATCAAATTCTTGTATAAAACAGGTATCAAACGAACGCTCAACTAAAATAAAATTAACTGAGAATATTGAAGGACCTCAGTGATAATTCTTTCGAATATATGCTTCATTTTCCTTGTTGTTGACTTTTGGAGAGATATTCGGCCTCATTGTTTGTAAATTTTATACGCAATTTTTTTTTACATCTTGTAATATTACTTTGCAAGTCGTTTATTTTTAACAACTTATCTTAGTTTGAAAAAAAAGCAGGCTTATTACTCATCTGTTAACACTTCGTTAAGACAAAGGATGGTACAATCAAACCCATTGAAGAAAATAGATGGAACAGCAAAAATGAATCAACGGCGGTCTCTAGTCGGAAGGAAGAAAGAGCGGGGAGTGTATATTTATAGATCCCCATTGTATATTTAGGATTAAGAGTTGGGAAAAGCGCATATATAGAACCAAGTAAAGGGTGGTCCAAATAGTGGAAATTTTGGAAAAAACGATATCTTTTCAGCTGGTATAAGATTTTATTTTATTTTTTCCACCAGCTTGGTGAGATATCTGAAAGCGTAGATCAGCGCGGACTAGGCCTCCGTGAAGACCCAAAAACGACTAGTAAAACACACAAGGAGTCTGTAGCATCGAYCAGWTTCYATTCTACAAACAKAATTACCAYGGTGKGTTTCCTTGCCGACTCGTCAGCTTTACAGTAGCCTGGCATTCARACTAGTCTTACCACAAATTGATTCRATGTCATTGAGAACTATGTATTCCTTAATCAGTCTTGAACTCAGAGTTAGTGAGCTCAAGGCTCGTATCTCCGCTCTGCTATAAGAGCGTATAGTCATTTATATTCATCTTATTTACTTTAAGGATGCTCTATTCCGGAACAGTAAAACGCTACAGTAGTAATGAAGTTTGAAGCTGAAGTTRATAGAGAGGGTTCCTGACAACATTCCCTAATTACACCTTCCACCAACCGTTTCCTAAGCTTTGACTCATCCTTAAGGAAGCTCACTTTTCCCTTCTTCCAATTTTATCAGAGAAAAAGTTGCCAGAGTTTGGTTTGGCGACTTCATGATCTAAAGGACCCGGTTTGAAGTCAAAGCGTGTGAGGATTTCCGAATGGTCTGAAGCCCTGTAACACAATTTCAGCAGACTAGATCCCTGTCGAAGTTACGTTGTCCTCTTTCGCTCGAGCGCTGAATCTACGCAACTCGCACAAGCTCGGTAAGCGATGCACAATAACCACTATTAGGGCGGATGCAAGATGTTTGACTTAGCGCGGAATATAAGAGATTCTTTGAATTATTTGGTGTTCCCAAACCTCATCTTATAGCAAATGTAAGAGTTTTATTTGCACACTGTCTTATAACTAACCATGAAGTGAAGTTTAAAGTCTTGACGGATTCAAACTGTCAAAAGCTGTATGGAGGAATGTGAAAATATCTAGACAATACCACTACCGCCAAGCTTTAGCTAAACTGAAGTTGGAGCACTGGCTTGTTTTGATATTAGCGACCTCAACAAATCTGTGGAACATTCGTGATATTCGTTTGGTTCCTGTCAAGGAATCCTTGAATCTACAAATGATTACCGTTGCTGTTGTCAAAGTGGCATTCTCGTTAGCCATGTCGGGGTTATCAGCTCTGTAATTCATTTTGACATTCTAACATAACCACTCTCTTTGGTCTAACTTTATGATAGTATATTATTGAAACAACTTCCCATGAAATGTTGTTTTCTATCAAGATTTAACTCGATATTCGTTTAAAGTCCTCAATCTTGAAGAAACTCTGAACTTTTTTATTATAAATTAAAGATTTTTCGTCTAAGTTGAAAAAGTGGTACTCATGCCTCTATTATAAGTCTCTTCAAAACTATAATTCTCATAGGATGTATTGAGTTCCCATTGTCCTTTTCTCATTTTTCTCGGGGAGCCAATGAAAAGATCTACAACCTCAAAATGTGTATAAAAATTTTAAATAACAAAGTTTTTGGTTGTCTTAACCCTAGAGAAGGCGCGCTCCGCAGAGTGACATGCATTGTCGCGCGTGAGCATTTTGCTCACGTACTGA